GCATGAAGAAGCAGATCGTCTTGATATAACAAATTGCTTTTCAAGTAACAACTCATTATTTAACTTCAACTTTATGAAGCAGAACGTTCTCTTTTAGCTGAACTTCCGCCTGGCACACTCTATTTATCAAAGCCTCATTTGTATGGTCATGATTCAAACAATACAAATATTGCATTTATGCCAGATGCCAAAAAACATGAATCAACAATTTATTTTGAAGCCATAAGCGGTACACCGATCAAAGCTCAACTTCGTATTCAATTGAATGTGAACGCTTTTGTTGATCCATCCAAAATTGATGAAGAAGGAAACCTGATACCAATTCCGGGTAAGAGAGGACGACTACGTCTAATACCAATGTTCTGGGTTGATCAAGAAATCACAGTAAATGATGAAACATTACACCGGCTTCAACGTGTTAACCGTATTCTTCAATATGGCCAGCGATTTCATGATTCAGTTCCAATTTCTTGTTTAATTATAGCATTTTTATTAAGTGCTCTATTGATTTCTGTTCTTGAATTTCTGATTACATGTTTCATAAGGCCAAAGCCTACCAATACAAGGAAGATGAATGCTGAAGATCCGTTGGAGGCTAATCTCAATCAAAAACTACTCGAAAAAAATGTTGTTTAGTTCATTTATACATTTGGGTTATCTTACTCATATTTATGTACTTTCTGTGTTATACAACTTGGGTGATGAAAGGCATTCTATCTATTCTTGGGATTTCCAACTTGAATGGGCCAGTCTTTTCTAATATATAGAACTTCTACAAATTTCGTCGGACGTCCATTGTTTTCTTTGTGAAATGTGACGGTATGGTACATTGATATGCCCAAATCAACTGCAATGGTACATGAAAAATCTGTTTACTCGCTTCTGATTCACTCTACACCTTGGCAAGTTGCTAAAATAACTGGTTGGCCAGAGGAAATGGCGCTACTTTCGAGAGGCTGTTTCCCTAACTTCTTGTTCAAGTTAGACTGGTTCAGAAAGTTTCGTTCTGATGCTAAAAGACAGAGAATTTTGTGTAGATTTTATTGATATGTTCTTTGTAAAATAAGCATTTGCCTTTTTTTGTA